ATATATTTAAGCCACATAAGAACAGTCTTGCCATTTCATTTCCTTATACATACACACTTTCCTACAGAAGGAAACAGAGCAACTTGATCAATTTTTTTGGATGCAAAACCTCTTCTTAACCAACTGTTCTTTACCATCTCCAATAGTTTAATATCCTGCAACATATAAATCTATTCATACTAAAAAGACCGTAAAAGGCTTTGACTTAAGATGAGTCTCATCACAGTGATAATGTCTCAATGGGGAAAGACAGTCTTGACTACAGGAATGTTTTACAGCCCTCCAAAAATATATCTGCAGCTCAGCTTTCATTTGTCTGTAAGTGCAGCCAGCAAGCAGCACACAGCGCTCAGGGCTGCAGCAGACGTGTTGGCTTAAACTGTACAACAGGCCCGAATGACAGGGAGTTTGTCAACCATAGGAGGAAATCAATCACAAATGATCTCAGGCTAGGAAACAAACATGAATGACAGGCAGCAAAGAAAAAAAACAACAACAGGGAAGCTTAAGAAGTGCTCCCATGAAATATGTATGCAAACATGACATTTCATGGAGATAAACGGCTTCATCTTTTCTCTGCAGCTTCACTGGATGAAGGACAGAGTGTAAGGACAAAGTGTTTGTGCACAAGGAAATAGTCCCTAACGGTTGATATCTATATCATTTAATGAAGTGAGACCAAAATAATTGTGCTTATAAATCTAAAACCTTTTAGTTAATCCTTTACACTGTTCAGAAAAATATGACTCAAGTTCTTTACATTTCCGCTCCTAGTTTCCTGTTAAAGGATTGTGAAACACGTCTAATTAGAAAGTATAAACAATATCTAACCAATGCAAATATTTATTAAAGCTTTGTGGGTTTAATAACATCAACCACCAAAAACATTTTTTTAATCCCACGACCACTCTGTCACTTGAACTGCAAATCCTCTCTGTATTAATCTTAAAACATAGAATCTTTGAGAAAAATCCCTTTGGAAAATTCATTTATTCTTGTTGCAAAACCCTTGTGGATTACAAGCATTGCTGGGGATCTACAGTCTTGAAGGTCAACTTTCATCTTTTCCTACACACAGATTGTTCTGCAGGACGTTATTGGGGTGATGCTCCTCTCTGCTTTCCTGGTTTACATGCATTGCTTTGTAAAATCATTCATACTCCCTGAACTTTTGTCATGTTGCAATCTGTAGCAAGGACGCAGCATGTTTCTTAACACCTTATATCCCATGCCCTTGAAGAAAACCAAATGCGATTAAAATTAACCCAATTAATTCACAGAGTCCATATGTATGTCCTCTAATCGCAGTGTAAAACCGCTTTTGCATGAAGGCCTCAAAGGGATTTTTAGCAAACACAAGTCAACAAAGAGCCTTTTAAAGACCAAAGAACAAAGCTGGCACTGAGTACTCTTAGTAAGTCTTGTCTCATTTCTGCCTGCATCATTACCAGGATGCACATCCATTTCAGATGAGCTGTTCACTGAATAATTTCTCAAAACCAGTCAAGACCAAACCTGCAAGATATTTTGTTTTTACTTCACATTAATGTCAAACTCCAGTTTGTATCTATGACACCAATTAAGTTTTTCTTACTTCACATGTTTTCTAATTTTTTACCTTAAAGAATGAATAAAACAAGATGCATGAGAAATGTTTTCCAGTGCACATATATATATAAATGGTTTCCCATCTGTAAAACATGCAGAAAGAGAACGGTAAGTGAGTTAAATCCTCCACCTGCCTGCAGCTAATGCTAAGTCTGTTCATATTACAGAGCGTATGCACCCCTTCTGAGTCTGACAGCACATGTACACAACCATAGAAAAGCTGCTGTACAGATCTATGTTGAGTAGTACAAATGTTATCAGGAACATTGTTTTCTTGACTTTTCATTTACATACTTGCAGATTTTCTGTGTAAATGTCTACTACAAAAAGGAAAACTTCACTTAGGAGGTAGTCTGCCTATAGAAGCATTTAACATCCTCCATTAGCTGATACAAATTAAAAGATTCGTGTGCAAATAAAAGCAAATTACAAAAGAAAATAAAGGAGGGCTTAACTTTTTTGAAATGCTATTGCTGCTTTCATTCTATTTAACAGAACTATCAAATCTACGCTGAGAAGTTAATAACAGATAATCATTCATTTTAAGACGAGAGTTAAGTTAACTTGAGGAAATCTGGGCTGTTTTCTTCATGTTTTTTTGGTGAAAGATATAAGGGTTACACAGCTGAAGGTGATCATTTTTTGCACATCATGAAGCGTCTCTTCCCAGCACTTCCCTCCTTCATTTATCTCAATCAGCCCTGATGACCGTGACACGTAGGTATGCATGCTGCAAAAAGAAAAAAAAAAAAAGAAAGTCATCCTTTCCACAAACGCGGTGGTAATAATGAATTTTCGGCAAGTCAGAAGCCCCGTGGGGGACACACATCAAGGCAAACGTCTGACAAGGATGAACTGATGATGAATAAATGAACATCTTCCACGGGCTTCAGCTCTAGTGTAGCACTTTTGGCCCTGTTGATAATTAATTCCCATGATTCCACAGTGAGCGTCGTGACTGCTCTTTTTTTTTTTTTTGGGTTTGGGGGGGGTTTAAGCAGGCAACAAAAAGTTAAATGTAGCTCCTCCTCATTTGAGACTCACTGTTTTCCCTAAATATTGTGCTGTTTCTACTGAATTTCATCCTCAGGGAACAGAGCACTGGTGTCATGAGCCTCAGCACAAACAGTTGGCATCATTACACAAAAGAAACCCACAAGGAGCTTCACTTAAATGTTTCTTCAAACCTCTCAAGCTGTATTATTTCTCAATTTGCTTCAGCGATGTCAATTTCACAGACATAATTCTAAGCAGATTTCCTATTGTGCTCAAATCAATCCAGTGCAATCCAGGGAGTCATCCTGTCTGAGGTAAGGATGGGCTGGAGGATTTAAAAAGTAAAACTTCCAGAACTGCTAATCATTTTTGCGATACAGTAGCTATAATTTAAGGTTTTGGTTGGGTTTTTTTTTTTCAATTAAATACCAGAGTAAGTTGTGTTGTACAATATTTGGAAAGTATGACATTCAGTCCGAACATGTGATATATTGCTCTTATTGATACTCAAACAACATCCACAAATCAATACATTGAACAGATCTAAAGGAAACAAAACTTACAAAAGAATTATCAATTCTGACCAAAAAAAAACTTCACAATATATGTATACAGCCCACCCCCCCCCAAAAAAATAGAGGTAGAATCAACTAAAAATGAGGGGTGCACAGTTTCACTGAGTCCCCATCTTTAAAAAGCCTGATTCTGACTGATACAGGTTTATTGTAATAACTGACATCAGTTGTTTCAACATCACAAGACACATTCAATATTTCAATCTTATCTTACTAAAAGGCATTAAGCAGTACCCGTGAAAGAATAAAAAAGTGAGAAATTACAGCTCTCAAATATAAATCAAAGTTTAGCCTGTTGATTTTTGTAGACCTTTGCAGACATAGAAAAGATATGTGGAAAACACCAGTTTCAGTGTCAGCCGATCACCGATCTCCCACAATTAAGGAAATCGAGGCGGATAAATAGATGGGGAAAACTAGAAAAAAAGAACAGGGGAGTTTGATTCACTGAGTGGAGTCATTTTAGAGGATTATAAGCAGAGGAATAACTACTAATACTGAGAAAGCTCACAATCAATCACAAGTAACCACTAGAAAACAAACCCAAAACTAAACAAGCCCAGATTATCATGACATTAGGAATGTCAACGAAGGAGCCTGGTTCTCTTATCCACACACAATTATATAGATGCACCAATCACATTTTAACCAGCAGGTTTTTATTTTTCCAAAAAGTCTGGCTTCATGATCCAGGCGTGTCTTATTCATTTTTATTCATTCTGGGGAATTAAATAATACAATCAATTGATGTATTACTATTGAACATTTCAATGTGTTTTGGAACACGCCCAAATTTTCCTCATTACTTTTTTCATTTTCAATCATCACAGAACCCACACCCCTCTGCCAGATAAGACAGTTCCCTAATTCCTGTTATATATATATTAATTTCCTATAAATATGATCACTGAGGCTTAGAATGAATGAAACCCTCATTTATATGTTTTATAAACATGTATTTCTAAAAGAAATACTAACTTATAATCTGCATGATCATTGGAAAGGTGCCCCTCTCCAAGGAGACACAAGACGAGCCTGGCTGTATGGAGAGGCGGTAATGGAAAGTTTAGTGGATGGAAAATGTGCTGCAGAAGAACGCAAAGTTAGATGATTTCATGTTGCCATGAAACATAATGGTTACTAACCTTAAAATAAATCATTTGCTGCAGGTCCCTTAAAAGATGCCATGGTTTTTGTTTTAACATAAACATGGGCGGTTCTAGACAGGGGCCAACGGGGGCCAGTGCCCCTGTAGATCATGTCCTGACCTCTGTACTAAAGACATAATACTAAGAGAAATTCTAATTATTATATGCGCTGGAGCAGACATGGTTTCTGATAGATCCTTTGGATCTATAAAAAATTTTTCTTTGAAAAATGTAGTTTTACTAATCATTTAAAAACAATAAGGTGATAGCTTCAGTGATAGATAGGATCCCAGTTTTTATCTGTTGTTTATTTTTTAAACAAATAAGAAAAAATACTTAACTTTTACAGCTGAATTTATCAGTCTGTCTTGAGTTCTATTTCTGATTTTATAGAAAACTATAATTTAAACTTACTCTTTTAATATATGCCTATTTTTTTTTCCTTTTTTTTTTTTTTTTTTTTGCTTCATGCTTTTCTATGCCTCCATGAAAACACACGCTGGCCCCCTGGTACATCTGGTCTAGAACCGCCACTGACAGTAAATAAACAGCATGCATCAACTTACTCCATTTACGTACATCAGAGAATATGCATAGCTGCTGATACACTTTAAAGCAGAAAATGTAGTCTAAGATGATGCACACGAAGCAGATGATTTTTCGTTTCTCTTACCTTCTGCAGAGGGAAACTTTTCACAGATCAACCAGCTGACAGTCAAAATCTGAAGTGCTGTCAGAATAAACTTTACACTCTTCTTGGTCTGGTTTCTCATGATGCTGAAGCGTCTCTACAGCAGCCCAACCATCATACAACCCCAAATCCGACAACAGCTGATATTCAACAGCCCCCCCTAAATAAGTAGAAAGGGACTTCCTGAAATTTGATCAAGTGCGTCTGCGAGAAGCGCGTCAGGGAATCCTGATAATAACAGCTGCTTTAACTCAGCGCGTCTGTGGCCATTCAGCGAGGGATCCACAGGGAGAGGAGCCTCCTGACGGGGATTAATAGAAATGGGGAAGGAGATGTTGTAAAGAGAGGAAAACATTAGGAGATACACAAGCTTCTTCTGTCTTAGTCGCCCACTGGTATGAGATTTAATTTCCAAGCAGAAACTGCTGAGAAGTGTTGCCTTTTGAACAGAGACCATGTGCTTCTGAGAGCAGCCTCTGCTTGGTTATAAGTGACACATCTGCGTCAAGTCATTTATAAGGCAAGCGCAATATCCGGTTTGAATTTTCAAAGTAAAATCTTGAATTGTTGGTATTATTTCTTTTTCGATTAAAACTAGACATTTATATATATATATATATATATATATATATATATATATATATATATATATATATATATATATATATATATATATATATATATATATATATATATATATATATATATATATATATATATACAGATTACTTGTATAAAAGAAACAATTTATATGAGCTTATTTTTAAATTTGCTCCTACATATTTTGATATTTTTTGTTGGAATTGATTTGTCCACATTAGATTAAAAGCACTCCCTCTGGAAAACCACTATTTTTAATGTAATAATCTGAGTTCATAACAAGTATTTTATTTAAACTGTGTTCAATATATAAAGAAATCTATAAAAGTAAGAAGAAAAAATACGACAGCTTAAACCTGGTTTTCTGCCAACCCTTTCAAGGATTGTTTCCAGGTTCAGTTTTTTTTTTCTTTTTTTCCAAACATCTTTACATGTTCATCTTTCAGGTCTATTTGTAATTTCCTAGAATCTTAAAAAGATGTTATGGTTAGACAAAATCAATCTTTAGCCTTTCTATGTTATTCCAGAGGGTAAACTGCAATCAAACATGGATAAATATGTAGAACTAACCTTAAAAATAATGCCAAATTTTGTATATTCAGCTTGTTTGCATTAATTTCTCTCAACAAAACTGTCCTTTCCCATAATAAGCATGTAATAATTGAGTTGAAATACTTAACATAAATGTTGTTTGTTCACCCAACAAATAATTATTATGTTGGACTTACCCATTGTAATTGAGTAAAAGTAACACCAATACCTTATGTTGAACCAGCATATTTGCATTAATGTCAATCAAAACAAAAAATCTTGCTAAATTACCATATATTGATTAGATGGAAATACTTTCCATCATTTTTTTATGTTCATCCAACAAATCGTTTTTTTTTTTTGAGTGTATGTCTAATATGTTATCACATCATAGAAAAAGAAACAACAACAACAAAAACTTTACTTATCATGAAATATGGTGATGGCAGCTTTGTTGTCAAGGGTTACGTTTCTTCAGATAAAAATAAAAAATGATTTCAAGCTTGGTAAAATCCTGGGAACCTCTAATGTCATAAAATGTCACTGATAATAAGCAGACAACGCATAACCATTATTATTTGCAGTAATACCATGGGTAAATGCCACAAACAGCAAAGCAATGACTTCATTGGAGGTAAAAATTAAAGCTTTAAAGTCTTTCAATTCTTTGTGATGTTATAGGAAAAGGGGCCTTGAGAAAAAAAAATCCTTAGATTTCTTATAGATTTGTATGGAAGAGGATTAGGGCCACTGAAAATATTAAAAAAGTTAACTGATTTTTAAATTTTATTTCAGTATAATATGGGAAAAATGTCAGAATTCTGACTTTAATCTCAGATTTTTGACTTTTTTCTAGAAATACTGACTTTAATCTCAGAATTCTGTCCATGAAGGAATATATCGTAGTACGGAAGAGGATTAGGGCCACTGAAAAGAAAAAAAGGTTTACTGATTTTTAAATGTTATTTCAGATTAATATGGGGAAAAAGTCAGAATTCTCAGATTAAAGTCAGAATCCTGACTATTTTCTCATATCATACTGAATTTAATTTATTTAAGAATCAGTTAGCTTCTCTACATTTTATCAGTGGCCCTTATCCTCTTCAATAGTTTGGATAAATCTAGCATGAAGAAATAATGTAAGCTTAAATCTCAGTGTTTGAGGTGTTTACAGACTAAAACCAAGGGTAAACAACAGTGAGTGTAAATGCTATTGAAAAAAACGTGGTTGTTGTTGCTTTTTTATGTTTTGCAAAAGAAACAAAGTTGGGTTGTTTCTTTTTAGCACTTGGCATGTCCTACGTTTCAACCTTTATTTTGAAGAGAACAGTGCACTTAAGTTCCATAATTTTTCTTGATATTACTATGTTAGCTTTACTAATACAGCTCCACCTCATGCTCAATGCAGATCTATAACATGAATATTTAGCATTAAACATTTCAGAAAAGCATCTGTTAATTATCTTATATCTTGGCTATATCATATATTTATTCATTCGTGCTATACTCACACATTTAAGCATTTTTTAAACAAAAATGGCAAATAAATAAGAGGTTACACCCTGAACCAGTCAATTTAATTAAGACAGAAACATTTATTTATACTGTTTTCCCGGACACAATGTGATATACAAGGAAATCGTGATAGAATAAAATAAAAAATTGTCCTTTGTTTTTATCTTTCTTAATCAAAATCAATTCTGGCAAACAATTATGTTGTTAACTGTGACTCCTTGATGGGCAAAACTGGTGTAGTAGGTTTGTTCTTTTCTTTCTTTCCAATAATGCCTATATTTAGACATTATTCTTCTGTGTTTTATTACATAGTCCTAATATTTTTGTCTACTTATATCCCAACAATGGAACCATTTTTTAAATAAGCTTTATTCGAATTCCACTTTTTAGATTACAGTTATATTTTAATAAACTGCACTAAATTGAAAACTTAATCATTAATCCAGCAATCTATATGAATGTATGTTAGTTTCATAATGTGTTATTAAACTTTAAAACAAGTTTAGCTCTTATTCTTTTATAATCCAGGTCCAGGATCTTATTGAATTCCCCATTTCTCTGAGCATATTGCCTGCAGATCAAAACACTCCCATTTAAATATGCAGAGTTGAGGACAGAAACCTATTACGAAACAAAGACTCGATTCAGCTGTAATGTCCCCTGACACTGAGAAGAGGTTACATTCCTTCATCCAGAGGCTGATCGCTGACACTGGACGTTACTCCTCAGGCATTCTATTTGCCTATTTATTGAGAAATGGGGAAGACAGTCATGGATTTTCCCCACATCCGACTGTGAAGGATTATGAATGTTCTGTCTTGCAGCCCTGTTTAGCATCACATGAAGTCATGTGAAGTGACAGTGGGAGATGTTATGAGGTAATCTGGATAGAAAAGGCAAATTGCACTTAAGTACCCAGAGCAGCAGATAGAATTGTAAAACTGTGACATTTGTAGATGCAACTCTCCTGCATGAATTAACCATATGCAAACAGGTGCAGTTAAGATGTTTATTTTATGTAAGAGGAATGAAAGCAGAGTCTGAGTTGACAGCCAGACTCCTGGGATTTAGTCTGAGGGAGAGAAGCTTAAGGGATTTCTGAGAGTACCAGGTGAGCTTTGATGGGATTATTTCCTACCTCTGAAGAGATGCAACAGTCTCAAGAGAGGTACTGGTAATTCCAGGGACAGTTATGGTTGGTGGTGGAGAAGTCGTTAGGACTGTTTGGTTAGTCCTTTTTTAGGTCTAGCAGCCTAGCTCTCGAGAAGCGAACAAGCAGGTGCAAGTTGTTGTATTAAAATTGTTCAAAGGGCCAGCGGTGAGTTCTCATTAAGGTCAAGGAGCTAGTCAGGAAACCAAGAAACATAAAGAAGCACAGATTGTTTGGATTTCTTTAAAACCACTTAGCAAGAAGGGCTGGAATACGGAAACCTGGATCGACAATCTTGTAGCAAATGGGAGTTTAGTTGGGTTTAATATGGCTTGATAAAACCTTTACAGGTTGTAAGGTTGTTTTTTGTGGACTGTAAAGAATGCAACAACTTTGGACAAGAGTTTTAAAGGCTTATTGAACACAAGGAGACGTTTCTTTAGGATTTGGATCAAGATTCTAATGGAGTAGAAAAGTGGGTGGTTAGTTGTTGATACCGAAATGTTCTGAGATTGCTTTGAGATAGACAAGAATGGAGACCTAAGGGTTGCAACCAGGCTTTTAGAAAGCAATGCATACGGCCGTACATTGTATGCCTTTTACTAAAACTATATCAAATTGTACATATATTTTCCCCCTGGAAACTTTGCTCAAATTTTCAAACTTTCACAAGCAGCAGATATTGGAACATTTAAATTTTTGCTGCTCAACGTGCCACATCGACCAATCTGGGAAGCTGCTCGGGGAGCTGTCAGGGAGACAGACAGTGGTGCTGAAGCAGACAGCTATTGTCACTCCACTGAAAACTGTTTATTAACACCTAAATTAACTTAGTATATCGAAACCTGCTAGCAAAATATTATGAAAGTAAGCTGCAATCCAATTCAAAATGCAGAAAATAGCCTTTTAGAGAGTAAATTTCCTAGTGGAGCATACTCCAGGACCCCCTCCCTATGCCATGCAGAGCCTAAAGATGTGATACACCAAGATGTACACCCTATGCAGTATTCTTAGCTAAAAGCCTGGTTGCAGTTGTAGATTTTTAGAGAGTTAAAGGGTGGACAGTCAGGTGAGTAAGCAGCGGAAGGTCATAGGTTATCCAGATATCAGTTTCCAGGATGGTTGCCAGAGAAGCAGAAAGAATGTCAGGAAGTAGTGTCCAGAGAGACGCTGGGAATGAGAAAGCCACAACCAAGAGCCCATGGTCAGGACATCAACAAGGAATCAGGTTTCTCTTGCAATTTGATTCTGGGTTTTTTCATTTTTTCAAATTACAGACTTAAAGAAATTTACCAATAATCTCTTAGTGGCTAAATGGTCATGGGCCCTGATCGATCTTATAGCTCTTGTAAAATCTGTAGGTCATCATAGATCTGTTCTCTTTTCTCCATAGCTCTTGAGCCAATTTTCAAATCATAAAAGAAACCAAACAAGTTATTCCAACCTGTCTGTAAAGTTCGGTGATGACTTTATCAATTCACCTTTATCTGATCGTGTCTATTAATCTGGTTAAATGGTATTTTTGCTGTTTCTTTCACTTTTTGTGATGCTTAATGTTTCCTATCTATTGATGTATGTCTTTTTTCAATGGAAATATGTTTAACTATTTTGAATTCCTGTATGGAACTTTGCATTGTCGTGTATGTGAATTGTTTAGTATTAGTTTTCAGAAAACAAGATTTTGT